AAGTAATAATAATTTGGATAGAATTTACAGAGGGTTAATAATTAATAAATAATAAATCCCAGACTTAAAGGATCACCTACAGGAGAAACTTTCGTTTCAGAGCTGATTCACTTTCTCCTTAACCTCTGACCCCATCGCAGACAGAGCTGTTCACCTGCTCACCAATCGCTTACAAAGTGTTTTCGGGGAGACCCTTTATTCACAGATACAGCTGCAGATTTACCAAAAATGTCAAACTGAAGCCTCAGAAAGGTGGCAGGCAGAAGGCACTTTGCCAAGAAGGCAGAGAACAGAAAAGGGTCGTCATGCAAAGCTTTAAGTCAGATAAGGAAAATGATAAAAGGAATAGGGTTGTAACGATACTAAAATTGTCAACTCGACACCGATACTCAGGAAAATACTCGATAGCATTTTCGATACCACAAGGATAAAAACAAAGACCCCCAAATTTAACTGAATTTCAACAGGTTAGTGTCTTTGGTTTCAAACTGACCTGTTAGTGATGTTATGGTGGCCCACATTAATGTTGGCGTGTTGTTATTAGCAATTAGCCACAGCTAACAGTTCAAGGCTAACTCCATGTTAATGATCATAAACAACATAAATAAATAAATAAATAAACAAATAAATAAACAAACAAACAAATAAATCAGAGAGAAGGGGCACGAAAGGGAGAAGGGGGTGGTATAGATACTTCAGAAAATGAGTATCGTATCCGGATACAACCTTTTAGTATCGATACTTTTGACAACCCTAAAAAGGAAAACGTCGTCTTAAGGATTCTACATTTGGGGGGGCGTTCAGCTCCAGGGAGGAGGAGGGAAAGAGGTCTGCCAACTCAAACTAAACTTCTGGCATGCTGAGTTTGGAGCGGGCCGGGCAAAAAGGAAGCAAAGGAAGGAGGAGAAGAGGAAGTACCTTAGCCCCCTCCCCCTCGAACGGCCGGAGGAGCGCTAGCACTTGCCTCTCTTCTGAACAGGCGGTAGAAGAAGCCCCTCTTGGGGGGCGGGTTGGGCCGGTTCACGTCCAGGTCCGAGCACAGCATCCCGTCCGTCTCGTAGACGTTGATCTCTTTGAAGCACTCCATCTCGATCATCTGCAGGTGAGGGAGAGACCGGGAGAGTTCAGAGTGGCGTTTCAAGTCCGTCTGGCTGCAGGAAGCCAAGGATGGATATCCAACCCCGCCCACATCCAAGCGGCCATTTTGATTAGGTCACCAATAGGAAGATCCCTGGCAAGAAAATCCTAATTGCTTCATGGCAATATAGATATTAATTTAAAAATAGTGAAATTAACCTTGCAAAAACTGAATTAAACTCTATACATGATGTTATGTTAAAATAGTGGATGTTAAATAGGATTGTACAATAAGTCCAAACAAGTTTAACCAAAAAATATTTATTTCTCACAATTATAAAGGCTGGAGGGTTAGGGTTAGGGTCAGGATCAGGGTCAGGGTTAGGGATAGGTTTAGGGTTAGGGATAGGTTTAGGGTCAGGGTCAGGGCTACAGTTAAATTTAGGGTAAGGGCTAGGACTAGGGTTAGGGTTAGGTTTAGGGTTGGGTTTAGGGTCAGGGATAGAGTCAGGGTTAGGTTTAGGGTTAAGGTCAGGGATAGGGTGGAGGGTAAGGTTTAGGGTCAGGTTTAGGGTTAGGGTAAGGGTAAGGGTCAGGGTTAGGGTTAGATTTAGGGTCAGGGTCAGGGTCAGGGTTATGCTTAGGGTTAGATTAGGACTTCGTTTTTCTTCTGTTTTCATATAGACAGTAAAGATTCGTTTCCACCTCAGCAAGCTGCTAGTCACATGACCTAATCAAAATGGCCGACTTGGATGTGGGAGGAGCTGGATATCCAACCGAGGCTCCTACAGACTGTAAACAGAGGCTGCCCCCGGCCTGCAGTACCTCGTTCTGCCAGGGGATGGGGACGCTGCCTGTG